GTGTCTAATAAGAGCTGGAACTGTGGCTAGGACAACTAAGAACTGAATTTTTAATTTCATTTAATTCTAAAAAAAATATTTTCACATTTATTTATTTTTGAGAGACAGAGCACAAGTGGGGGAGGGGCACAAAGAGAGGGAGACACAGAATCCAAAGCAGGCTCCTGGCTCTGAGCTGTCAGCACAGAGCCCAACATGGGGCTTGAATTCACAAACCGTGAGACCATGACCTGAGTCTAAGTCAGACCCTTAGATATCCAGGCACCCCTAATTTCATTTAATTCTAATTAAGTTTATAAACCCATGTGTAGCCAGTAGTATTGTATTAGACAGCAGTTTATAACAATGTATAGGATATACAAGGGAGAGAAGCACATGTTAGATGATACCATCAAGTTACAATCAGCAAAATTCAGATCAGATCAGACCGCAGGAACACTTCCATTACTGAACATGAGCTTTGAGTTTCTTCAACAACAAAAATTTGCAAGGAAAACAAAGGGAAAATGGAATGAGAACTTAGGGTAAAGAGACTTAAAATACATCAACTCATCACAATGTATGAATCTTGTTTGAATCCCAATTCAAGCAGACTGACACAGATCTAACAGGAAAACATGAACACTGGCTGGTATTTGATATTACAGAAATGCTGCTGATAACCACTGAGGCTGTGTGAGGACTACATAGAGTTCATTACACTTTTCTCCCTGACCTTTTATATGTCTGACATTTGTATAATAAAAATGTAATTTTAACAGTTCTCTATAAGGCCAGTCAGCCATCAAAGCAAAATCTCCTTTTCTTCCATTACGAGAAGCACGACATCTCCAGTTCAAAAAAATAAAATAAAAAAATAAGTACCTCTCATTGTCCAAAAATTTGTTATCAGTAACTGTGAAGCCATATGTCTCTCAGAGGTATAAATCTCCATTTTCTCTCCCAAGTTCAAACTTAGAAAATGATTCCTTCAATGTGTTGTCCAAAACTCTTAATCCCTAGAGATATTTCTTTACACTGTTCAGTCCCCTTGATAAATCATGAAGCGAGTATCAGTTATTGTGATCCAGCAAGGCAGCCCTCCATTTCATTCCAGAGTTACTATGGGAAGACAGCACAGCTATTAATGCATCCAAATATAGCCCTGGATCTACCCAGTACAAAGACCAACCACCACAACTCAGCTTGTCTCCCTAGCACCAACAGCAATTCTCCATGCACCTGTGCCTCCTTAGTTTTCTCAATTAGTTCATCTCCCCAGTTTGGGATAAGCCTTATATGGGCTATATCACCATAATGGTAGCAGATTCCTTGCTTCTTTTTTGATGTCTCTGTTTGTCACATTTATCCATTCTCCATTCTTATGGTTCAGTTTATTGATTCCCATGGACCATCTACCTCCTTACCATAGCAGAGGGTACAGGCACCTACTTCTATAAGATACCAATTCAACCTCAGTGGGCAGAACCCCACTCTTAAAATACAGATCCTGTAGCAACATGCTGCCTTTCTTCCTTTTCTGAGTCCTACTGTTGAATTTTTCAGCCTTGGTTTCAGGTTTTAATTCTTGCTTTTTTTCCTCCCATGTTACCTAGAATTCACTCTAATAAACAGCAACACAGAATAAATCTTTCAATAGTTTGTCTCTAAACACAGTCTCAAGTCTGCATTTAGTTCACATGTAATTATAGGTTACAGGCCCACACCTAGCTTCCCATTCCTCCTCACATTGGTTGGAGCATTAGATAGAATTTTCTAACCTCATAACAACCCTGTAACTTCTCTGGTGGGAGGTTATACATCTAGAATAAAGGGCTGGTACTTAAGTTTCTCCACCTCAGATGTGTGACAACAGTTTCATCTCAGAGGCAGCAAGATAACATCAAAAGGCTTTTGCCAGCAACCTAGTAGCAATTATTACTTATGAACAGTGGGTTCTACATCAATGTGTTACCAAATAGAGAATCCTTCCCCTGCCCAACCCCTGAGAATTTTAGAGAAGTGGTTTTTTTCCCCTTAAAATTAAGTGTGAGGGGCGCCTGGCTGGCTCAGTCAGTTAAGCATCTGACTTGGGTTTCGGCTCAGGTCATGATCTTGTGGTTCGTGGGTCCAAGCCCTGCATCAGGTTCTGCACTGTCAGGGCGGGGCCTGCTGGGGATTCTCTTTCTCTCCCACTCTCTCTGCCCCTCTTCTGCTTGTGTGCTCTCTGTCTCAAAATAAATAAATAACTTAAAAAAAAAAATTAGGTATGAGTCTACCTATTCACAGGCTTCAGGATTACTCAAAGTATTCAGTGTATAACTTCATTTAACTGCTCTTTCTCAGATTCTTATTCTTCATTACCAAACATACTAAACGCCTTTAGTTTGAATGTTTTAAACTGCATTATTACATGCCACCTGCCATCTGATTTCAGGAACACACACAAAAAGAAACATTTATTCTAGGATAAGAAATTAAATAAAGCCAACATTACTTGTAAAAAATAGGATTGGAGACTGGAAGCATGGCTTCTAAACAGATGGCAGTTGTCTTTGGGAGAGTGGGAGTCCTTCAGAGCAAAGGACTATTATTAGATCAAGGAGTACTCACCTTGGCAGGAGTTTTAATCAGGGTCCAATTTCTCTGACCAGTTAGTAAAAGGAATTAACTGAGTGCTTTTGCCTGCCAATCTCCAGACAGAAGGTTAAATATAATACATAAAGAGATGATAACCTAGTCCTCCAGCTACTTCTAATCTAGCTGACAAGCCAGAATAAGAAATCTGTGACACAGCTGAAAAAACACAGAACTGCAGTGGAAAAGATTATTCAGCACCCATATGCACACATTTCACCGAAAAGAAAGGGGGGAAAAGGGCTCTTTGTTTTATTTTATCTTAATTTAATTTTGTATTTATTTATTTATTTATACACTTATGTATGTATGTATGTATGTATGTATGTATGTATGTATGTATTTATTTATTTATTTTGAGGATGGGGAAAGGCAGAAGGAGATGGAGAGAATCTTAAGCAGGCTCCAAGCCCAGCATGGAGCCAACTGCCCAGCATGGAGCCAACTGCCCAGCACAGAGCCGAGGTGGGGCTCAATCTCACAACGAGTGAGATCATGACCCAAGCCAATCAAGATCAGATCAAGAATGGATGCTTAACTGACTTAGTCACCCAGGTGCCCCAAGGGCTCAATACTTTAAACAAAATTGTGTCCAGTGGAACAAAACTGCCTTAGGGCCTGCTACAAGGGTGGAAATCAATACAACAGGATACTCCCTCCACTCCCACCACCCCTTAGTTATTTTCTATCTTTTTACAAATTAGGGCTCCTCGGGGCGCCTGGGTGGCGCAGTCGGTTGAGCGTCCGACTTCAGCCAGGTCACAATCTCACGGTCCGGGAGTTCGAGCCCCGCGTCGGGCTCTGGGCTGATGGCTCAGAGCCTGGAGCCTGTTTCCGATTCTGTGTCTCCCTCTCTCTCTGCCCCTCGCCCGTTCATGCTCTGTCTCTCTCTGTCCCAAAAATAAATAAATGTTGGAAAAAAAAAAAATTAAAAAAAAAAAAAAAAAAAAAAAAAAAAAAAAAAAAAAAACCACACACACACACACACAAGTTTAAAACCCACTGAACTGAAAGATCTCTAAGGTTCCTTCCAGTTTATAATGTTCCACAATTTTATGATGTCTCTATCAATTCTGACTTATCACTGAAAGCACCAGATTTTGAACAGATTGTTGAACATTCCGCATATTGTTCTTATAATGTCTACCTTAGGATGACATTATGTTGGTTTGGGAGAAACTGAAAACCTGAGTATCATGGCTTCAAGTGGCTTTAAGAAAGAATCAACAGAGATACTCACTCCTGAAAGTACTTATGGTAAAAAAAAAAAAAAAATTGGTCAGTTAACAAAGTAACTGAAGACTTGGTAGATATAGGTGGTTGCCACTGTTGGTAACTATTCTCAAACTATTTAGTAACACTGCATCAATAGCAATTAATCTTAACACAAAAATATGTAGCTCCAGACATCACAACATAAATGAATTACACAGCAATACATTTAATGATAAGATTAAATCCCACTGTTCAATATAATAATTAAATGCCAACACCGACTTAAGGAAAAAATAAACCTCATTATGATGAAATAAATTCCTAAGACTGCTTGAACTGATTACAATATATACTACCATCAAAACAGAATTAAGTGGAAGCCTGTAAGTATTCTTCCAAAAGCCTGAACACAGTGAACTACATTACTTGATCCCTGCCTGTGTACTCATTTCTGCTACTGTAATTCCCATGGAGCATAACCAGTACCAATCATAACAAAAGAATCAAGTGAAGAGCCCAGGAATATGCTCGGTTTTAGGAATCTCTAATCTGGTATAAATTCCACTCATAGGGAAAACAAAAATAGTTACTAGTGAGACAGTCATATATAGCTGACTTGTTCTTCTATTAGTTCACCCATCAAAAACTATTATCATTTGGCTCAAATATGAAATTTACACTGATTCTGTTCATTAATGCCTTCAATTCTCTAAAGTGTAAGTTTGCGTCATCCGTCTGGAAAGTTTGTACACACCACCTTCAGGAGTCTGCCTGTAGAGCTGCTGGAGCTCTTTTCAGAAGCACCCACACAGGTGCTGCGAACAGGCGGGGGCATTTCAAGAACAGACTTGCCTTCACTCAACATGCAGAGACAGAATTTAGTACTACCAAGTAACTGCCCACCACTGCACACATGCACACATGTACACACGCAGTGGCACACACATACACGTGCACACACACACACACACAAAACTGAACAAGACAACATGAAAATGGACACAAAAACAAAACCCAAACAATAGAAAACAATTTATGGTTGGTGTTCCATTTAGCTATAAGACAGTATGTTCTACGGAAATTCATGGAAATTAGGAAAACTTCAGTGGCAGATGCCTTTTAAAAAAAGAGATATATAGGTATAATTGTGTTCTCAGAGGCGTCATCACCTGACAGACATCAGAACGGATGCCAGTTTTCCAAAATCCTTGACTACTCAGCTCCACTGTTACTTCTCGCCTCATTGTATTCTTCTGTCGTATTTTTTGGAGCGCTTCCTAGAAAAGAACTCATTACGATAAGTAACCTGACAGTTGTAAGGTAATATTAAGCCAAACATCAAGCATTAGACTATAAGCTGGATTCACTGAATATCACCCTTATATTCAGGTATTCAAACCTATTCAAACCTCTTTATGCCAAATTACAATATTTTATTTGAAATGAAGGCCAGGATCCTCAAAGCCTTGGGTGTAAGTCGGTCTTTCCTGGTAACTACATAAGAAAAAAAATCTAAACCAAATCGACTACTCTGGTGAGTTCAAGTAAAAAATGACCTTGTACTGATAAACAAAATGTGATGTTTGGGACTTAAAATCATCATGTAAAAATTATATTTATATCAAGCCTTATGTTAAGCATTTACATCTAAGAAAGACAATCAGTAAATTAACCTGCAACCCACCTAATTCTAAATGTTGCTTCTAATTTGCAAAACCCTTACAAAAACTCTTGCAGGGGTACATTTTATTTTAAAAAGACAATGATTCAAAACTTTTGCAAGACATAATCAAGACTTTGCAAGACTCTTCCCTTTTACCTCCCTTCAAAAAACTAATTATAAAAAAATAATTTTATATTTGTATGCTTACTCAATAAGAATCTCACAGGTACTCATAACAACTACTGCACCACTCCCACCATTAAGTGCCTACCACAGACCAAATACCATTGGGGGGAAAGTTCAATGGAGTATTTCAGAAGTCCACACAAGCACCTATTTCCCTGGGTCCACCAACAGAGAGAAATTTGAGTCAGCCTCTCTTAGCCTTGTTTCCCTCCTTTTTAATGAGGATGTCTGGCTCAAATCACAGGAAGTGGACAAGACCATAATTCAAACGCTTTTCCCATCTTCAAAGTCTGGTTCTCTTATACTACCAAAGCAGAATAAAACTTCAATGAGATAAAATCTATGTTGACATTGAATCCACTTATTCTTAAAATTATGAATTAAGAATTAAAACATAAATAATCCTGGAATACAGGGATAATACTACCCATTAGTAAAAAAATATGGAATTTGGGATATAAAACCTTAGAAGTTCACCCTACTAAACTAACAGACATATGGAAGATAATCTTTTACAACCTTAAGATGAAGAAACTTGAGTAAGACCCACGTTGTACTATATGCAGTCTAATTAACGATAAAAAACTGACCTAGCAAGTTTTAAAATTTGGAAAATTTCTAAAAGATACATTTATTCCCAATCGTAGGAATCCATGAAGAAACTGGCCTTTTTAGGGGGAAAATGCTTAGACACTGAAAGATGGAAAAGAAAATCAATCTATATACCAATGTGAGGAAAAAGTATGATATTTTTAAGTGTTTTTCCACCTTATTCTAGAAGAATGGTGTAATGCAATAATCTTGAAATAAATCTGAAGCACATCATCATTTATCACAGAACAGGATTTGATACCAACCTCCCTTTGTGCCAGCTTCTGTTTGTCAGTTTGTTTAACTTTGGGACTATTTGCTAGGAGGTGGCGAAGTTTCACATAACTCTTCCACAGTTTCTGGTACCTAAGGAAAAGGACAGACAGACATCTCAGACAAGGAGAACGAGAATCCGAAGTGCAATAAAACCAGTTGTTTTAATAGGCCTGCTGAATCATAAATTACATTCTTTTGGAGATCCTTAATGGTAACAAACCTTCATTCTAAGGAAGGATATGATTTGGGGGCAGTGGGGCAGGATGACCAAGAGTCATCTGGAACCTAGTAATTAAGTTCATTATTATAAGTCTGTGTTGAAAATGAGGTGTCACTATATGCCTGAATCTCTCTGGAAAGAATTCCAAAGAAACATAAAAACCAACAGAAATATGTATCATTTCTCATCATTACCTATTTTATTTAAATATGTACTTTCTGAGGTTGTTGAAAGAAAGATCCCTTACTTAACAAGGATACTGTCGGTCTCTGAACTGCCTACATTGAAAATAAAAGCTGGAGAATATTAGAAAAGAGAACCCCATCCATGCCAATACCCAAGCTACACAGCTGTCTCCATTTCTCCACTGGAGAAGGAAAAAGACGAATGGTGTGCACCAACTTGTATTTACCATGACAAAAATAAGCTTATTTGTTGCAGCCAAATATGGGATAAGCTGGCTCAGTGTAAAGGATCCTGTTAAAGCGTCCTGGGAATGAAGAGAAATGCGGTCCTTTAGCAGCACACAGTCCTGCCATCGGAGAGTCCACGACAGCCTATCACATTCTACTAACATTTTTGACAAGAAGGGACTTTCAAAGAATTTTGTCATATTCAAACTGCTCCTTTCTTGGCCTTAGCTGGGTCTCTCCTTTTTGGTAACAATTTTTTAGAGAATGGAGGAAAGAAAGAAGTACTTACACAGTGCCTGGTTCACTGCTTCATACTTTTATCCAAAGGGGGGAAAAAAAGAACAAAACCCTTTAGCCTCTTCTAATGTATCAGCCAGAATTGTATTTATGAATTGAAAATCTCCCATGCCCTTTTCTCCCATTATGAATCCTTAAAAAAAAAAATTAAGTCAGGAAACCATTTTTTCGTTTGTTTAACGAGGTAGGAAATCCAAACACTTCTGAAGAATATAATGGTACTATTTCTATTCCCACACATCCTCAGCTTCTCCCAGAAAAACACTAACAAGCGAGTTGGAAAAACTCAAGCGTGGAAAGTAACATCAATTCTAAGAGTCAGAAGTCATGCCTTCTCCTTAGAACACAACCTTTGACTTTGCATAGGATCCTGAGCTTATTAAGATGCCTCCCAAAATAGAACTCTGCATAAATCCGGCAGTGCTAGGAACCAACATGGTGTTACTTTCCTCTAGAGTACACTGGAAAAGTAAATAATAATAATAACAATAAATATTATAATGATGAATAAAGGAAAAGTTCCTTAAGGTTAAAAACATACAGGACTCATGTTGACCAAAACTGCCAAGGATAATCCTATTGAATAATAATTACCTACAGTCAAATCAATAGAGAAAATAATTCTTCAGGAGCTACCAAAACGTGTTTCATTTGGTAACCTAAATTTGGAAACATGGCTCATTTCAGGTCTTAATTTTTTTACAAAGAAAGCATCCACTAAAGGGTATTCCTCTGCTAATTCAGCTGTTAGTAGAAGGTGAAATTGGCTATGACAAACACTGAGAAATATCTTACTGTGGATCTCCTGCATAACTCAACTGTGCAGGGCGTATCCCAAAATGGACGATAATCGGAAAAGTAATCACATCAGGGTTGAACTGTTCACGATCCAGTTGATCAATGCGGACAGAGCTAGGTTTCTAGAGAGAAAAATCAAAGCCGTTTATTCCCATAAGAAGACTTTCAGTATTGACTTTAACCTAAGTAAGGAAGAAATTAATTGGGTTTTTTTCTGGGAAAGCCTCATCCCCCAAGGGAAAATGTCATTTAAAATACTTTAATCATAGCAGCTATTCTATATAAAAACTATAATGTCATCCCTGCAAATGAGTCTATGCCATTTGGCATAATGAACAATGAGTCTGTCCTTTTTTGCAGTCCACATAGAAACCTTTAAAAATTAAACTTTTAAAAGGACACCTAGTCAGATATAACTTTTCCTTAACCTCTCTAAAGACACAGGGGAAATATTCCACATTACAGGGAAGAAATGTGCTGGCTTATTCTGTTTCATTTCACATATCAAATGAATGGCTTACTTCTACTCAGGGTACACAGATGCCTCTCTCCATATTTTTTTCCATTAGTTCTCTATGTACCTTGTTTTTTCCTTTCTTTTGTTTAAATTGCAGTATAATTCATATATATCATTATATTGGTTTCAGGTATAGGACATAATAATTCAATATTTGTATACACCATGAAATGATCACCACAAGTCTAATTAGCAACTGTCACCATACAAAGCTACAAAATTTTTTCTTATGATAAGAACCTTCAAGATCTTTTCTTGGCAACTTTCAAATATGCAACACAGTATTACTGACTTATAGTCACTATGCTTTACATTACATCGCCATGACTTATATATTTTATAACTGAAAGTGTATACCTCTTGATCCCCTTTACTCATTTTGCCCACTCCCCTTCCTCTCTGGCAACCACCAATCTGTTCTCTGTATCTAAGTTTGGCTTGGCTTTGTCCATTCGTTTTGTTTTTTGATTTCACATGTAAGTGAAATCATACAGTGTTTGTCTTTTTCTGGGACTTATTTCACTTAGGGTAATACCATCAAGGCCCATCCATGTTGTTGCAAATGGCAAGATTTTATTCTTTTTTATGGCTGAGCACTATTCCATTGTGTGTGTGTGTGTATTCATCTACTGATGAACACTTCGATTTTTTCCGTATCTTGACTACTGTAAATAATACTGCTAGAACATAAACGTTCATATCTTTTTGAATTCGTGTTTCTGTTTCCTTCAAATAAATACCCAGAAGTGGAACTCATGGGTCATGTGGTATATTTTCAATTTTTTGAGGAACCTCCATACTGTTCTCCAGTGACTGCACCAATGTACACTCCCAATAGTATACAAGGGTTACTTTTTCTCCACACCCTCACCAACACTTGTTATTTCTTGTCATTTTGGTAATAGCCATTCTGAAAGGTACAAGGTGACAATTCATGATTTTGATTTGCATTTTCCTAATGATTAGTGATGTTGAGCATCTTTTCATGCCTGTTGGCCATTTATATCTTCTTTATTTTTTTTTTTTTAATTTTTTTTCAACGTTTTTATTTATTTATGGGACAGACAGAGACAGAGCATGAACGGGGGAGGGGCAGAGAGAGAGGGAGACACAGAATCGGAAACAGGCTCCAGGCTCCGAGCCATCAGCCCAGAGCCTGACGCGGGGCTCGAACTCACGGACCGTGAGATCGTGACCTGGCTGAAGTCGGACGCTTAACTGACTGCACCACCCAGGCGCCCCTATTTATATCTTCTTTAGAAAAATGTCTATTCAGATCTTCTGTCCATTTTTAATCAAATTATTTGGGTTTTTTGGTTATTGAACTGTGTGAGTTCTTTATATATTTTGGATATTAACCCTTTATTGGATATCTGATTGGCAAATATCTTCTCCCATTCAGTAGGTGGCCTTTTCATTTTGTTGATGATCTCCTTCACTGAACACAAGTGTTTCAGTTTGATGTAGTTCCATTTGTTTACTTTTGCCTTTGTTGCCTTTGTTTTTGGAGTCTGGTACGAAAACATCATTGCCCAGACCAATGCCAAAGAGATTCCACCTATGTTTTCCCTGTAAGTTTCATGGTTTCAGATCTTACATTCTTCAGTCCATTTTGAGTTAATTTTTGCATATGGCATAGGTAGTGGTCCAATTTCATTCTTTCACATGTGGCTGTCCAGTTTTCCCAACACCATTTATTGAAGAGACTTCCTTTCCCCATTGTATATTCCTGCCTCCTTTGTCATAAATTAATTTACCATATATGCAGGAGTTTATTCCCAGGCTCTCTATTCTGTTCCACTGATCAACGTGTCTATTTTTCTTTTTTGCTAATGCCATACCGTTTGATTACTATAGCCCTGTTGTATAGTTTGAAATCAGGGAACATGATGCCTCCAGCTCTGTTCTTTCTTAAGACTGTTTTGGCTAGTCAAAATCTTTTGTGGTTCCACACAAATTTTACGATTGTTTATCCTATTTCTGTGAAAAATGCCATTAGAATTTTGATAGGGGTTGCACTGAATCCACAGATTTCTGTGAGCAATATGGACATTTTAATAATATTAATTCCAATCCATGAGCACAGAACACCTTTTCATTTGTATCTTCAATTTCTTTCATCAACGTCTTACAGTTTTCAGAGGACAGGCCTTTCACTTTCTAGTTTAAATTTCCTCCTAGGTGTCTTATTCTTTTGATGTAATTATAGATAGGACTATTTTCTTAATTTAAGTTCCCTTTCTGATAGTTTGCTGTTAATATATAAAAATCCAACAAATTTTTATGTGTTGATTTTTTTTTTACCCTACAACTACACTGAATTCACTTATTAGTTCTAACAGTTTTTTGGTGGAACCTTTAGAGGTTTTCTATATATAAAGTCATATCATCTACAAATAGTGACAGTTTTACTTCTTCCATACAATTTGGATGCCTTTTATTTCTTTTTCCTGCCTAACTGCTCTGGTAGGACTTCCAATACATGTTGAATAAAAGTGAGCATCCTTGTCTTACTCCTGATCTTATGTATTCCTTTAATTCTACACCTTTAAAATAGAAGGTATGGTGGTACAAAAACCAAATGGTTAAGCTTCTCATTCCATTAAAAAATGGAGAACATTTTTTAATTTTAATAGAAGCCTCATTTTTTTTATTCTAATACAGGAAGAAGTGAACAGGTGGTTCCTTCTTCAGTTAACAACATACTGTTTGTGAAATACCTTTCTTTCATCCTAAAAGGTGAAGTTTATGAAAAGATGGTAAAAGCTATTATATAACCTCCTTGCTTATATCCAGCTCTCACAGCAGTCCCTAATTAGAAACTAAACTCTTTGACTCAGCTGCTTTAGAGCCAAATGCCACAGAGTTGATCCACGTGGAGGCCAATAAGATTCATTCTGCCATACAGCAATGCCCACAGTCAGAGTCTGGTTGGTGGCCTGGTTTAACCAGGACAGAGGGGTTTCAATGGTAAAACTGGGAAAACCCCCAGCAACTGAAACAAGCTGGTTACCCTACCCATAATTGTAGCCCCACTCAGCCATCTGACAAATCCAAGTAAGTGACAAAATAAATACATCTGTGTAAATTCATACACACTGATTAGAAAACAATGTATACTTAAGTTTTAAAAGAATATTTAAATGTCACTTAACAGTCAAAAGTTCACTAGTATTTGGAAAAGTTGAACTCTGCTCTCAAAATTAATAAACTTCTTGGAGAAGATTTTCTAGAAACAGGTAACCTAATATGAAATTATTTAAACGCCCATCATCAGTAGCAACATGTTATTTATGTCTAAGAAATGTTACCAAGATTTTGTATATCTAAGCAGCAGGATACAGTTTTAAAAGAGGAATCGCACAACTGAAAATGCTAGTGAATTATTCATGTTTTCATGATTTTAAACACCATGCTATGGCATCAACCAAAGAAATTGTGATTTAAAATATCTATAGCATCTCTAAATTTACAGAGGGGCAAGATGAAATAAGTTCTAGACTTTGGCCACACCCTACAATATCCATCATACCAGCTTTGAGGAAGAATAAAAAAAAGTTCTTGCTAATGACCAAAGTATTCCCTGGCAGAGGCAAAGTGCCTCAGGAGGGAGATTAATTCTTTTAAGTTCTGCAGCAATAAAGTACTTAATGTGACCATAATGGCTTGAAAAATTTAATAAAGTCTCCAATATTCTTACCACCGGGTAATCTTTCAAAGCAAGTACTGCAGAGGATAAAATGTGATGCCATGTCTACTCTGTTCTATTCGCAAAAGATATAATGAAATGATGTTTCCATGATACTGAATTTCAGAATATTTTCCTCCTTTAAACATATTTTATTAATTTTAACATGTCACCAAGTCTGGCACCCAAACTTATCTTTCTTAATTTATTTCTGATTACTTCCCAACATAAACCTTTCATCCTGATTAATCTGGTTTCATTATCTTCAAAACTGGCCATTTATCCTTCCAAGTATATGAATTTATTCATGCCAATAAATTCTACAATTTCTTGATTCCTTAAAGACCTCCCTGTAGCCTTTATAACGTATCCCTGGCAGCCTGGTCCAGGGATCCCGCCTGAAACTACAGGCCTTCTTGATTGGCTTTTCGACTGACTGGTCCACTGATTCAACAATTCATCGCAGACTACTTTCATATGGCTATGCCACGAGTTTGTGCCCGGACAAACAACATATATAATCTATGTACTTCACTAACACCTAGCTCAAACAGTAGTCCCTCAACAAAGGAGCTAAATGATAATCACGGCAATGGAGTAAATATCCTCAATGCCTTTGGCTCAAAAACAAGCAATGGATGAATCAGAAAAGCACTGCGGGATTTTTTTTTAAACTAGAGATCCTTGGGCCCCATACTTGAAATATATATGGGTGGGGACAGTCAGGATATTCTTACATTTTCAAAAGCTTTCCAACTGATTCTAGGATTTTAGGAAATGTTAACCATTCTGTGGAAAGAAGCCCCAGGGTGAAAGTGTTCCCAAAGTGTCCACTACAGATCATGAGACTCTTCAGGCAGACCCACCAAGATGAAAAGGTGTGTCTCCCACCACCGTCACCCCCACCCATCCTCTGACCCCACTTTAAAACTGGCAGAAGAAATGTAAATTCATGCAACTATTTAAGAAGAAAAACCAAATTCACAGTTATATTGTCATAATGCTATGACTTAATAGATTTTAGAGTTACTTTAACAATTATTTATGTGGCCTAACAATGTAATTGTAAAAACTGTATGATTGTTTTAAGTTTTAAACAAGTTTTATGTTTAAACATATTTTTATTAAACACTTTCACTGTCTAAATTTGTTTGAAACAATCAGTATTAGCCGGAATGTTTGATTTGTAAATAGTAACATTTTGTCTGTACAGATGTTACTGTCATGCTAGAAAAAGTTGATCCAGAGTTTTTATTTTTATGAATCAAGGCTATTAAACAATTTGGCAGCCTTTTAAAAACAACAGCTTTGTTTAAATAGATTACTCTGTTTCTTTACATAAAAATATTTTAATTCTCCATTTCTGGAAAACTTTATCCTGATAAGAAGCCAATATATAATTATTTTATGATTACAGTAACATACTTTAGAGAAAAAACTTTTAATTCATATAAATATACAAAACAGCATTTTCTTTATAAGAGAATCTATTTAACTTTTGACTTTCTGCTCTTAATATTTTCATTTTTACTTCAAGAATTAACATTAGAGGCTAATTTTTAGAAAAAAAATTAAGAAACAAAGAAATGGGAAATATTGGTAATAAGTATGGCAAAGGATCAATGAAAAAGGACAAGTATCACAAAAGAAAATTAGACAAGAGATAGTAATAGGTCATTATCAAAAGAAAACATGAAAGGCCAAGAAACATTTAAAATACCAATTTTTGCTAGAAACCAAAATAAATACTGAACTACATAATTTTCCCCCCGGGTAAATTGATAGTATTTTTGTTAAACTAGTATACTATAACCAATATGAAGACATGGACATGCTCATATACTCCCGGTCAAAGTGCAAATTTTAGAACCTTTCTAGAAGGCAATTTACAACATGTATCAAAAGCCTTAAAAATGTGCGTATCTTCAGGGGCTCCTGGGTAGCTCAGTCAGTTGAGCATCCAACTCTTGGTTTCAGCTCAGGCCATGATCTCACAGTTTCATGAGTTTGAGTCCCCTGTCGGGCTCTGCACTAACAGTGCAGAGCGTGCTTGAGATTCTCCCTTTCTCTGCCCCTCCCCTGCTCATACTCTGTCTCTCTCAAAATAAATAAATAAAAACTTTTTAAAATGTGTATATCTTCAGCCTACTAATATCATTTATGGGACTTCTTCCTAAAACACTAAACGGACACATAATCAATGATACATACATATTTATGTATATATGTGTTTATATATGCATATACAAATTCACTACAGCACTATTTGTGACAGCAAAACTCTGGAAGCAACCTAGGTGTCCAATAATAGGGGGTAAATTAAATAACTTAGGAGCCTTTTCAAATTATACTCATAAAGAAACTAAGACTATGAAAAATTAATTTTATGGTTGTTTCTGGAAGAGGAAGAAAAGAAAAACATCTGAATATTAATATTTAATTGTATGATGCCAATTTTGTTTTAAAACAATATGAAAGTCTCTAAAGAGGTTAGAAAAGTAAATAGTAATATCTCTGGAAAATGGAACCATGGATAACTTTTATTGTCTTCTCTGGGATGTTTTCTCTATTATCTTAATTTTCTATAGTGAAGTATGTTACTTTTATACTCAGAAAAAAATCAGATATGAACATATCTAAAAACTTTTAAATTCTCCATAATGGGCAAAATTTACTAATCAGAGAAATTTACTACTCAATATGACTCCCTTGTCAATTTTTTTTTTTTTTTTTACTAAATATTTAAAAGGAAAAATTACTTGGGGCACCTGGGTGGCTCAGTCATTAAGCACCTGACTCTCGATTTCAGCTCAGGTCATGATCTCATGGTTTGTGGAATCAAGCCCCACAATGGGCTCTGTGCTGACAATGTGGAGCCTGATTAGGGTTCTGTTTCCCTTTCTCTCTGCCCCCCCCAAATAAATAAATAAACATTAAAAAAATAAAATGAAATTTTAAATAGGGAAAATTATTCAAAGGACAAGAATGAATACTTAAAACTTTTAAAATGTTTTGTTACTGTTTTTGTCAACATTCAAACCCGGAAAGAGTCTCAGAACATGTAATTCAGTCTCAGAACGTGAAAGCACCAGAACATACCGTTCCAGGGTTGGTGACGATCATGCCTTTGCATTCTTCTGCGTATTTCTGCCATTCAAGTTCTTCCCACTGAAGCATATTGGCGATCTCCTCTTCGGGAACCAGGGCTTTGCTACACCGTAATAAGTAAAGGAGAATCTGGTGCATGGACAGCACCTCCTTTCCTCCATCTAGAGTAGGAGTGGAAGAGAGGGAAAAATAAGGCTACTTAACAGCCAATCATCAGCCGAATAAGGAAAAACAAAACAATAAGGGGAAAAAAGGACATTTATAAAAAAGTAATTTAGAATTTACATTGTTTAACCAGGTGCCAAATAATACAAAAGCCATTTGTTTCACTGATGAACAGTGCTCATAAACCATCTCATTTACTAAAATGGCAACAACAACATTATAAATGATAAAAGGCTCCATTTGTGAGGCATGAATATAAAAAAAGTGCCTACCTAAATAAATTTAAAACCACCTAGCATAAAGAGCCACAGTTTATAATATACAGAACTATGTTATGTCTTAAATATTTTATCATTCCTTCTAAGGTAACAGATGAAAGCTCTTTAGAAGTGATGTTACTGTCTTAAGGAAATTCTAAGCTTTTATGAGGTATTTATGGATGTTTCCAATAAGCTATTGTTGCATTATGGTCTAATTTTTTGGTGCTAATGTGCTGCACCTGCCGTGATGAATAGCACTAAAAAGCCTGTACTAATATCGTGAAGATCATTATGGAGTTAGTACACGGAAAAAATACCGAGTACTCTGAGGCTTACAGAAGCATATATTACCAAGTACAGAGCATAAAAACAACAAAGGACATAATTAAAGTACCTTGGAAAGAGCCAATTAATCTGGTACTTGATGAACCAAAGACATTAATATAATGTGGTCATTAATTTTGTGTTCACATGCTTCTGCCGTCTCTTTGGGCTTAACTTCTTGACCAATGTATGCAACCACCTTGTACCCCTTTTCTTTGCCTAATCTCGACCCAAGGAAGGACAAGAGGTCTGAAGGTATGGAGAACAATGACCACCCTCCCCAGGTCAGGAGATATGCTAGGAACTGCAACATAGGGCCAAACACTTCATGGAGAAACAAGGGGACCAAGATTATGGGGATGGGTGGGCACAGATGAGAGTGTCCTATTTGTGCTAGAGGGATTAGTGGTACCCAAGGAATTTGGGTTACTAGAAAGAGGATAAAAGATCTTTATATAAGTTGCTGTGAGATAGGAGCCTGGACAGGATTACACATCTGAGAAAGAAGAAACTAAAGATCAAAATTCCTTTTTGATCTGTATTTTTTTTTAAATCTTAGATGCTGTTATAGAACTGGACAGCATTGCTGCTCTAGAGCTACTATATATGTAGGCATGCATTCATTCACTAAATACTTGCTTATATGCAATAAGTATTTACTGAGCACCTATTATGCAGCAGGCACTCTTCTAGACCCTGGAGACACAATGGTGACCTAAACAGCTAAAACCCCTTATATTCCAGAGAAGGGAAAGAGACCATAAAAAAACAACTACATGACAGAGCAGGTCAAGATGAACATTCTTCCGTGAAGCAGAATCAAAATGGGCAAGGCACTACGGCTGTATTTAAAATGGTGGTCAGGAAAGGAGTCTTCAGACAGGTGTCATGTGAGCAAAGACTAGAAAGAAGCAGAGGAACCCACCATGCAGCAATCTGGGAGAAGAGTGTCTCAGATAGAAAAAAACAGCAGAAGTCCTATGGAAAGCGGGACCGATGTGTTCTAGGAACTGCAAAGAGGCCACCGTGGATGGAGTGAAGTAAGGAACAGAGTACGAAAGAGGTTGCAGGGAAGTCAGATCTTGCACAGCTTTTACAGAGCACAGTAAGAGCTCTGCATTCTATTCTCACAAGGGAGCAGGGTTTTTACCATTATGTGCCAGGCACTATGAGTGGTGCCCTGTCACAGCCATGGAAAAAAACAAACAAAAACACAAGCTCCAGGTCCTCAAGACATATGTAAGCTAATAATGATTAATCACAACAGTTCCTAGAGGAATCTTCGTAGATAGCATTCTGAAAACAGAGTTCCCTTAATCAAAGATACAGAGTCTCCAAAAAACAAAAAAGAAAGAAAGAAAAAAGAAAAAGTCCAAGAAGTGACTAAAATACAATCAACCCACATGAAGACATGCTCCACCTACTGATTCAGAATACTGCTCACAGCAGCGAAATCTTTTTATGCCTCATGACAAAACATCTGCTTTAAATCCAAGAGTCACCTTTGATTAACAAACTTCCACTGTTAAGGGCATATTTCTCAGAGTCTGTCCCAAAAAAACATTTCAATCTCCCTGCATATAAGATGTCTTCCTCAATCCATGATGTTCCCCTCTTTGCTAAGGAGCCGGGCAAAGCCACAATGCCTCTCTGTCTGAGCCCCCACTGGTCTCTACTTCCAGGGGGTCTGAGGCAAACAGATGGACAAGAGAACTTTAAAACCAGAATACGCTGATGTATGCTACATGTGTATACATACAGAACAGCAGAGAGAAAGGAACCCTAGAGAGCCCCGAGAAGAACTACCACACTGACTAGATTCACTAGGAACCAAGAAAAGAATAAAATAATATTTGGCTCATAATCTCTACATTTGGTAGTACCCCTAAAGAGAACTCTGAGCCTACAAGGATCCAACAGAAGCCCAGGATGCCATAGGAAGGTGGAGAGTGTTGTTCTAAGGATTAGAAAAAAACACTCAGATTTTATTTGGGGAGACTGGTGTACGGTGGAAGGAGCAAATACATGCAACGCCAGGTATACAAAAGAGCACTAGAACCTCCCTACTAGCAGTTACGGAGGGCTGACTTCCTAGCCCCGCAAGGAGAAGTGAAATAGAATTTGCAGCTACGAGGATGGAACTAGAGGGTATTATCCTAAGCAAAATTAGTCAGAGAAAGACAAATATCATATGACTTCACTCACATAAGGACTTTAAGACACAGAACAGATAACACAAGGGAAGAGAAGCAAAAATAATATAAAAACAGGGAGAGGGACAAAACATAAGAGACTCTTAAATATGGAGAACAGAGGGTTACTGGAGGGGTTGTGGGAGGGGGGGATGGGCTAAATGGGTAAGGGGCATCAAGGCATCTACCCCTGAAATCACTGTTGCACTATATGCTAACTTGGATGTAAATTTAAAAATAAATAAATAAATAAACAAACAAACAAACAAAACAAAACAGAAATGAAATAGACTAAGTGCTATGAATTTAAAGCAAAAAGTCTAAAAAACCAAAAAGTATTGGAAGAGGGGAATACCTGAGCCTACAAACCAAGGGCAAAGCCCAATTTAGGAGAAGAATACCAGCAAGATAAAGAAAAAAGGCCACCAAATGCTCCTAAGAATGCTTTTACCTAGTTCACATACAAAGCTGCTAATGAGAAAAGAGAGCTTTATAGCAGCATCAAAACTAGAGCCATGTAAAAACATACACATCGGTGCAAAGTCGGTAATGCTGAAGGAGAAATTGTAAATCCATGCTGAAACCTGCTAAATATTTTAAATGGCAACTAACACCTAAAAAGATAGGTATTTACCACTGTGACAAAGCAGAAACTCAGGACAGATAACCGGAGATGAAAGGTTTACCCAGGGGAGGATCAAGGCACTGCTCCAGGTCCAGTACTGGGGCGCAATCCTTGTGGAATGTAAGAAAAGGAAGATGAGACCAGAGTCCTGCCAGAGCCTGTGGGGCAAGGGCTGCATCCCTCACACCCAGCCCGGTAAAAAAGTCACTCCATAAATACTTGTGGAATGATTTTCTGAAGCAGATAAATAACATGGCCACTTGCTCGCAGACTGCCATGAATTTACTAATGTTAATGAATTGGCTCTTTTGGTTTGTCTGTTTTGCTACATGTTTATGTTGGGGATTTATGGAACTATGTCACTGAGGGCTAGGAAGTAATTTTTATCTCATTGGCTGAGATAAATAGGACATGATATAAATGAGAAATGAGAGCGGGTAAGCTAAGGTTAGCAGGAATTCTGCCAGCACTGGGACTGGAGCTGTGACAACGGCTCATTATTCGGGAAGAACTGGAGTTTGTGTTTCAGGGAATGAATCTGGACAGTCATTAACGAACTGACAGACTTTATAAACTGTTTCTCAGAGACCCAATTCTCTCAGCTTATATTGCTTGATTATTTATATGGGGGGGGGACAATTTGTTAGGGAATCTGTGTTAAGAATATGGCTGGTTAAACAAGTATTTTTCAATGGTGTAATAGTTATTTTAAGAACTATAAAAATACCTTCCTCTTTCCTACATGGAGAATAACTGTATAACTGCATTATTATGTTTCCTGTATATTCCTGCTAACATGTCTGCACATAATCTCAACTTTTGAAAATGTGTATTAACAGGTATTTTCTAAACTCCCCCCTCAAAAAATCACTCTCCAAATAGACAGTTATATTAAGATGCTATATCAATTGATGTTTTTATCCCACTACACTTGGCCCCCTGGGAATTTTGAGATAGTCTCCCCCTCTGGCTCTCTCTCAGCCATGCCTTGAAAACTGCTTCTCCAGAATGGGGCAATTTCCAGAAATCAATTTGCAAGGTAATAAACAGATTTGCAAAACGGATTCAGGAATTCCGAGGGTTTACTACAGTGATGATGTAAGCAATGACCAGGTTTCCCAGAAGTACAGCGTCCTGTCTTGAGTTATACCCTGCCTTGGCCCCAGGTAGAGCAAGAATAAAACCTTTAATTCAAGAAGAGCTCTTATCAATAGTCTGGCTATCAAAGGTAGAGGTAGGGATTGGAAAGAAACAAAAACTTGAGAAAATCCTTAAAATCTCAATAAACTAGTTGCTCTGTGATTTGACTCCTGGTAAACTGGCCTGCATTAAATAATCCTTGGTTTAAACTATAAGCTTAATTTTGGATAAATCTGTATGGAGCAAATGAAACCACTGCCTTCAAAACTGTGTAAACTAGGGAACTAAAGAAAAATTATGATGACTGATACACTGTCAATTAGATATAATAAATTGATATAAATGAAAAGTAAATGAGAATGAGAGGATCATTAAATACCTGAAATATATGAAAGCTGCTCTTTCTCATAAGAGTTCAAGTAAGATGCAAATAATCACCATGAGATTACGTTTTG